GATCTGGTTGTGAAAAGGAGCCTGGCTCCCCTACCTCTCTTTCTTGCTACTTCTCACCATGTGACAACCCTGCTCCCCTGTATTAGTCCATTGTCACACTGCTGATAAAGACATACCTCAGACTGGGAAGTTTACAAAAGAAAGAGGTTTATCGGACTTACAGTTCCACGTGGCTGGGGAGGTCTCACAATCATGGTGGAAGGTGAAAGGCACATCTCACATGGTGGCAGACAAAAGAAGAGGGCTTGTGCAAGGAAACTCCCATTTATAAAACTATCAGATTTCATGAGACTTATTCATTATCCTGAGAACAACACAGGAAAAACCCCCCCATGATTCAATTACTTCCCACCAGGTCCCTCCCACAACACGTGGGAATTCAGGATGAGATCAAATTGCGTGGGGACACAGCCAAACCATATCATCCCCCATCTGCTTTCCACCATGAATGGAAGCTTCCCAAGGTCAAAAGCAGATACTGGCACCGTGCTTCTTATGCAGCCAGCAGAACCATGAGCCAAATAAACCTCTTTTCTTTATAAGTTACCCAGTCTCAGGTATTACTTATAGCAACATAAACAGATCAATATACCCTCTAAAAATTGGGTTAACATGATAAAATTATATTTTCCTCTTTCCTACTATCCAAAACTTTACAATTAACTAGCTATTTTATTAAATACAATATGCTGATTTTTTTTTTCTTTTGAGACAGAGTCTTGCTCAGCCGCCCAGGCTGGAGTGCAGGGGTGCTATCTTGGCTCACTGCAACCAGTGTATCCCAGTTTAAACAATTCTCCCATCTCAGCCTCCCGAGTAGCTGGGATTACAGGCACTCACCATCATGCCTGTCTAATTTTTGTATTTTACTAGAGACGGGGTTTCACCATGTTGGCCAGGCTGGTCTTCAACTCCTGATCTCAGGTTATCTGCCTGCCTCAGCCTTCCAAAGTGCTAGGATTACAGGCGTGAGCCATTGCACCCGGCTGCGTTGACTTTTATGGCATAGAAAATGATTTCTTGTGCTCACTTCAGCGCACAAGCACTACATCTTTTTAAATGATTCCTTTTAAGACAACAAGCTTGAAGACTCTTGGAGAGTCTCAAAAATGTGTCACTAAACTAACCATCCATTACCTTTCTGTATTTTCCTAATTGCTGGGGCAAATATTGCAAGGGTTACCATCCCCAAACTGGGTGCCCATCTCCCCCCCAAGAAAATTATTTTTCAATGGCTGCAAAAACCACATAGGTTGCTTATTGTTTTTCTAGTCATCTCCCTCAGCTCCATCATTTCCTGGATAAACTCGCCTACCAGAAGCAGCAAGACTGAAAATCTCCGTGGTCAGATTGTGGAGGGAAGAGGCACCAGGCTGGGTGGGGGAACAGGCTTGACCACAGTGATGTGCTGAGAGGGAGAGACCTTAGAAAGAATGAGGCTGCTGCAGGGACGTAATAGGTCTGTTAGAAAGTGGTCGAGATTTCAGGTCAGAGGCCTGAGTTTCAGCTCTGACCCCGCGCTGCCTCAGTGACGTGCCTGGTCATCTACAGATCAGAATTGGACAACCGGAGTCTCATCCCAGCTGGAGGACATACAGAGGACACAGAAGGGCTTCACACCCTCTGACTACCCAATGTGTCAGGGCCTCAAAGGAAAAATCCATGGTTTTCTTTATCCTTCCCTTCCACAAAGGGACCAAAGGCACAGCCACATTTTCCTAGCGAGGATTTCAAGCTATATGACAATATCTGAATGGAAAATCCAGACATGTGGTCTGAAAACAGAAGAGGATATTTGAAAACAGGAGTGTGTTTAGGAGGTTGCTGCCTATGGTGGCAGGGAGTGGCTGGCTACTGCCCGACATCTCCTCACCAGCTGAGGCATCACCATCCTGCTTCCCTTCTCCCACTGGAAAATCCACATTCGATTTTCTGTTCTGAGTCCCTGAGAGAACCAAAACAAGTCTCCTCTGAGAGGACACTTCCTTCCAGGCTCCAGAGTCACAGGAGAAGAGCTCACAGATTCCCACCCTCCAAGACAATGAGAAGCTGTGTCCCTCCTCACACCAGGCACAACAGCCCCTTGGCAAGTCACACACCCATATGTGCTATGGAGGAAAGAATCCCAAGGGGGCAAATGCCTCAGGAAAAACCCTCAGTTTTCATCAAGCTCTTGTACACACAGCAACCCAGCAACCACTTCCGGGCTCTCCAGGCCAGCCTTGGCTCCAGGTCTAAACACCTGCTTCAGGGCCAGCAGTTTGTCCACTGGGGTCAGGAAAAAAATTCCCCACTGGCAGCTTAGCCATTCAGACTCCTTAACTTCTGCGTTACCCTAGAAGCAATTACCAGTGACCAGCATAGCAACTGGAGGATATATAATACCTGGGAGAAACGCACCAACTAGGGCAGAATGATCACCTGTGCATCTGCCTCATCTTCATCCCAGCCTCTTGCCTGATGTGTAATTGGCACCCTCTGGGTGCATAACCACCAAGGAAATTTTCAAAATACCAACTCCCACAGAGGAAGCTGGTCAGTATGAAATCAGCCCACAGGGTTCCATCTCCACCGTCTCAGTTTCCACAAATTGTTTTAATCTAGAAACCACATCTACAGCCAAGGGCTAGCTGCTTCTCACGGAGGAGTCCACCTAGACCATCAGCAGCATGATCCTCACACCTGTCTGCTTCCCACAACCCTCACACACATCTCATCGACTGCCCACATTCCTACCTTCCTTCAGAACCTCCCCCTCCACATCTGCACGTTCTCACGCGGGGGAGGGCTGACTGCTTCCAGGCCCTGGGGGGATAGGAGAGTGGAGCTGTAATGAGCTCAGGCTTTGGAATCAGGACAGGCTTCAAATCCCAGCCTTGCTTCTGTTGGACCAGGAGAGTGTTAATCTCTGAACTTCGGGTTCCTCAGCTGTAAAACCTGCCTGGGGGGACCAGACATTGTTGTGAGGATTAAATGTGATAATGTACTTAAGGCTGCTTGGCAGAAAACTTGGCGCAGAGTAAGACCAGTCCCTGCCCTCAAGGAATTATGAATGTGGTCGAAGTTTTTGCCAGTTAACCCTATCCAGCACCGATCACTTACTTAATCCACTGGCCAATCATAGGCCTCCTTTGCATTTGGTCTTCGCTTTGTGTTAAGAAGGACGTGAGTTTCTCTCTCCCACGCTTCCTGTGCTTCTCATAGGTAGCAGGGCACACACAGGGTGGAGAAGCTACACCAATAGCGACGGGCCGAAGGGGAGAGCATTTGGATGCACAAAATCACCCTGCTCCCCTGGAAATGGAGCTGAAACCCGAAACAAGTCTCCCTCCAAAGGTCAGAGGAAGGAGATGAAGAATCAAGATAAATATACCAATGCTATATATTCATTACAGGCAAACCACACGCCAGTTAGGCTGGCACCAGAGAGATGACCTAACCTAGCAGGCTGGGTACAATCAGTGAGCGGCACTACCAGTGGTCAGACATGGAGCTAAGTGGAAACCCTGAGGCCCTCTACTCTCTAGCTGCTGGTCTGCTAGACTGTGAGCAATCATGACGGGGGTAGGCATGTTATGCAGAAGAAGGGACATAATAGCCAGGAGAATAGAAGGTAGTAACAGTGAAGGTATCCTAGGCAGAGACAGAGAGGTGCTTCTGCATCCCCTAGAAAGAGCCTGCAGTTGGCCACCACCCAACTCACTCACCTGTCATCAGTTTTCCCTTCCCCCTCCAGAGAATAATGACAAGAGGACATCCTGGGAGATGTGGCTTCATCCAATTTCTGACTTTTCTGAACCTAGCGATTCAGAGAGGGGTTCCAATCCTCAGTTTGGGTTCTGAACAATCACCACAACCAGTTTTGGGCAAGGGAGTTAGAAAGACACGTGAGTATTAATGGGAAGAGGCTGCCCCGTCAACTGCAGACTACACTATTCCCTGAGCTCAGAGGGCAACATGGCCAGCAAAAAAACTGTGCCGTCTTATGTTCAATAGTAGTTAAGATGATACTTTGCAGTTAGACCACTGAGAGAAAAGAGCAAGACTCCAGGCCTTCACCTCCCCACGCTTCCTTCCCGCTACACAGAACAGCAGAAAGTAGTTGCCTCGAGTACCACTTTGAGAGTGTCTCTCCCAAGCTCCAGAAACTACAGTAGCTCCCCATTGAATTGACTCCACTTTGCCTGGGAAGCACTCTGCATATAGGATCTCCATACCTGTTTGATGACTGAGTGATTCATTGAAATTCGAACTCTTTGGCATAAATCACCTTCGGTCTGTCAGCCTCACCACCTTCATTTTTCCACATTCCTCAACAAGATCATATTTGGTCATCCATCTCCATCTTCAAGCCAATACATCCAAACTGCTTTCACCTATAGGCATTTGTTACCCCTTCAAAACTCAGCTCTCTATAGGTCAGTGGTTGTCTAGGGCTGGGGGAATGGGATGGAGAGGGTGAAGGTGCTAGCTAAAAAGTATGAGTTTCAGCCAGGCACAGTGGCTCATGCCTGTAATCCCAGCACTCTGGGAGGCCAAGGTGGGCAGATCATGAAGTCAGGAGTTCAAGACCAGCCCGGCCAACATAGTGAAACCCCATCTCTACTAAAAATACAAAAATTAGCCGGGCTTGGTGGCACGCTTCTGTAATCCCAGCTACTCAGGAGGCTGAGGCAGGAGAATCACTTGAACCCAGGAGGCAGAGGCTGCAGTGAGCCGAGATTGAACCACTGCACTCCAGTCTAGGTGACAGAGTGAGACTCCGTTTCAAAAAAAAAAGAGTATGAGTTTCTTTGTGGGGCGACAAAAGTTTTTTGAAACCGACAGTGGTGATGGTTGTACATAGCTGTGAATATACTATAAACCGTTGAATTATACTTTAAATAGGTGAATTGTATATTATATAAATTATATCCCAATAAAGCTGTTTTTAAAAACTCAGCTCTGTACTTATCTCCTTTCAGAAATTTTCCCACACTCATGAATAAAAAGAATTTCACTTTAAACAACAGAGAAAAAGGAATCATTTATTTACTCATTATTAATTCATCAACAAACATCTATAGATCTATAGATCACTGTAAGAGGTCAGGTACAGTGCTATGAAGATACAAAGATGAACACGATTGGTCTTGGAGTACTCCAGTGAATATTGGAAAGTTAGTAAGCCATGCTATCTTTACCATTTTTTCCACTTCTTCCTTCCTAGGGTTTAAGGAGAAGAAAGGGGTCTCCTAATCCTCTTCACATTTTCAACTTTGTGCAGGGAAAATCCGCAAACTTGAGCTTCAAGTCAGTGACAAGTAAAAAAAAAAAAAAAAAGAAACAAAAGGAAAAAAAGAAAACTAAACAAATAATGAAAAAACAAAAATTAAAAGAAATCCACAAGCTGTGGTCCTCTCGGCCACTTAACTTTTACCACATCAGACTGAATTTCATAGCAAGCCTGAAAGGTGTTTTTCTCTGCTTTGGAGAGGTAGATTTGGGGTGGGGAATGTGGAGACGTCATGCTGGGCCTGGTATGCTAATCCTCCCTAATCCAGGCCAGAGCAGAGCCATTTTCCAACCATCATTTCCAAATCCTGAATCATGTGAGCAGGCTCAGGTGCTGCTCCAGGACACGTGAGTATGTAACCTCATACTTTTAAGCAAACATCCATTCCATGTGAGAGACTCACAGAGTAATGAAATAAGCCTTCACCCTTGAACAGGAAGAGGAAGCTGGCAACACATTTTCACATGCACTACTCTTCAGACTTCCCATTAATCCACAGACATCCTCTTCTGCAAATGAAGAAGGTGAAGCTCATAGAGGTAAAGTGAAACGCTCAAGCTAATCTCCATAGCTAATCGATGACAGAACTTAAATGTATAGCTGTCTTCTGACATTAAGTCCAATGTTCCCTGCACTCCATTGCCTCTAAATGCCGATTCCTTTTTTTTTTTTTTTTTTGGAAACGGAGTCTTGCTCTGTCACCCAAGCCGGAGTACAGAGGCGTGATCTCAGCTCACTGAAACCTTTGCCTTTGCCCACTGAGTTCAAGCAATTCTCATGCCTCAGCCTCCTGAGTAGCTGGGACTACAGGCACGCACTACCATGTCCAGCTAATTTTTGTATTTTTAGTAGGAACGCGGTTTTGCCATGTTGGCTAGGCTGGTCTCGAATTCCTGGACTCAAATTATCTGCCTCCTCAGCCTCCCAAAGTGCTGGGATTACAGGCATGAGCTACCACACCCTACCACTAGCTCCTTCTCAGGCCACTTGGTGGTATCTACAAGCACCTGCTCACTTGATTGCTTCTTTTCTTGGAAAGAAGCCTTTCATCTTCAAGGCCTAAAAATGATGGGGCTTTGTTTTACACATAATCCAAATAGATTCCAACAGAAGGCAGTACCACAGTAGCTAAGAGGAGATGTGAGTCACACAAATTTGAATTTGAATCCAGAGTCTGCTTTTTCAGATACATATGTCCTTGTTTGTTTTGGTTTGGTTTTTTGTTATTTTGGAAACGGAGTCTTGCTCTGTCGCCCAGGCTGCAGTGCAGTTGCGAGATCTCCGCTCACTGCAACCTCCATCTCCCAAGTTCAAGCAATTCTCCTGCCTCAGCCTCCCGAGTAGCTGGGACTACAGGCATCCACCACCACACCCGGCTAATTTTTGTATTTTTAGTAGCGACAGTGTTTCACCGTGTTGCCCAAGTTGGTCACGAACTCCTGAGGCCCGCCTCAGCTTCCCAAAGTGCTAGGATTACAAATGTGAGCCACTGCGCCCGGCCGATACATAGGTTCTTCTAATCCAAAAAGTCACCACTTAAAATAACCACCTGAACTACATCTAGGTGAAAATCCTGCCAAATTTTAAGGATATGTCCCCAAATCCAACAAAAATAAAGGTTCTACTACACACATAGACAACTCTTGAAACCACGAATACCTTCCTAAATCTAACCAAATCTACAGTCATCCCCATCCCAGCCAGCAATGCAAGACTTTTTTTCTTCATACACACACACACACACATATATATATATAACATTTTAAGAGCTGGGGGTGGGGGTCTCACCATTTTTCCAGGCTAAAGTGCAGTGGTTATGCACAGGCACCATTATAGCCTATTAAAGCCTTGAACTCTTGGGCTCATGTGATCCTCACACCACAACCCAAGTAGCTGGGAATACAGGCCATGCCATTGCACCCGGCTCTTTTTACCATATTTTGTCCTCAGTATATATGACAGAATGTCAAGATCAAAAGAAGGTCTCTTTTAGTTTCTTTTACATTTGAGGGAAGAGCCAATAAGCCATGACAAACTACTTTATTTATTTATTTATTTAAGACGAAGTTTCGCTCTTCTTGCCCAGGTTGGAGTGCAATGGCATGATCTCGGCTCACTGCAACCTCCACCTCCCAGGTTCAAGCAATTCTCCTGCCTTGGCCTCCCGAGTAGCTGGGATTGCAGGCACCTGCTACTACACCTGGCTAGTTTTTTGTATTTTTAGTAGAGACGGGTTTCACTCCCAGGTTCAAGCAATTCTCCTGCCTTGGCCTCCCGAGTAGCTGGGATTGCAGGCACCTGCTACTACACCTGGCTAGTTTTTTGTATTTTTAGTAGAGACGGGTTTCACCATGTTGGCCAAGCTAGTCTCAAACTCCTGACCTCAGGTGACCCTGCCGCCTCACCTCCCAAAGTGCTGGGATTACAGGCACGAGCCACCACCCCTGGCCTGACAAACTACTTTAGTTCAAGGTTAGCTCCCACCAAGTTTGCCCCATTTCCCTCTGCTCTGTGAAAAGGGTAGCAGGATGAAGTACCAAACAGAAGGAACTTCTATCCCCAGGGTCCACAAAAATCCATGGAACAAAGCTCTATATCTGCACCTGCAGAGGGAACCATGCTCAGTTATGGCAAACAGAAAAGAGAAACTCTGGAAGGTCCAAAACGCCCATCTTCTGCGTAACCAATCCTGCTCCTCAATCCCCACCCCACAGAGACACATGGCTCATCCTGTTTCTCCTGCCACTCTTCATATTGTTCCCCTCCGCCAGTCTTATGCACCCAACCTCATTCTTTTCCTGCTGTTTTCTACTACCCATCTGTATTTGTCATGGTGTCAGCCTCTTCCTTCAAGAAGTCTGCCTCTACTTCTCCAGAACTCTCTCTTTTCTAGTACACAGCACAGTATGTTTTTCAATGGCTCCCACAGGTCTTTTTTTTTTTTTTTTTTTTGAGATATAGTCTCACTCTGTGGCCCAGGATGGAGTGCAGTGGCATGATCTCAGCTCACTGCAGCCCCTGCACCCAGGTTCAAGTGATTCTCTTGCCTCAGCCTCCCAAGTAGTTGGGATTACAGGAGCCTGCCACTATGCCCAGCTAATTTTTGTACTTTTAATAGAGACAGGGTTTCACCATGTTGGCCAGGGTGGTCTCGAACTCCTGACCTCAAGTGATCCACACGCCTCGGCCTCCCAAAGTGATGGGATTACAGGCGTGAGCCACTGTGCCCAGGTGTTCATTTCTTATACAAGTGTCCTCTCATTTTCTTTCTCACGGTCTACAATCCCTTACTCTACCTATCCTTCCCCCACACCCTCCTCAACATCACCACTATTAGCTGTTACTAGACTGAGCTCATAGAAATATTCAGTAAGTATTTACTGAATTGAAATCAATGTAATTGTACAGATTTGGAGAAGGAATTCCAGGGAAAGTGATCCAGTTGCTCCGTACAAGAACACAAATCCATTAAGAGACAGGGCCCTAGAGTCCCAAAGTAAATATGTAGGATTTGTGGTACCAATGAACAAGTGAGGACTCCCTGCCCTCCACCAGGCAAGGGGCTTGCCTCAGACACAACTCCCTGAAGCAGCAGTCCTGACCAGAGCTGTGCAGAGCTGCTCTATGGCGCCCTGCACCAATTCTCTACGTGAAGGAAGCTCAAACTTCTCCCATTACCCAGATGCCACATTGACCTAGGCAAAAAAGTAGCTGGTACAAATCACAGTCTTGTAGGTATCCATGTCTAAAGACTGATATGGTAGGAAATGTGACTCACTCAATGTCAATATTTCACTTCCACACAAGTGCGCCAGTTAAGGCAAGCCGGTGTGGCCAAACGTAAAATAAGACGGAAACGGAGTTCAGAAATATAAACCACTTAACTTCTTCTCTGGCCTTTTGCTATCTCCATCTGTAGAAAGGGAGCCATAGTAATACCTACCTCAGAGAGTTTGCGGTAGGGATGGAATCTGGAGGTACATGAAGTGCTCAACATAGTGGCCCGCATGGTAAGGGCTCGATAACTATTAGCTGCTCTTATTATTATTATTTATTTCGCTGTGGGGATCAAAGGAGATGGAATGCAGCGTGAAGCCCCACGTAAACGTGTCGTGCAACATGAAGCCCCTCACCCTGGGCTGGGGAGCGGGTGGCACGTGTGGAAACTGAAAGCCACCATCCCTGGGACCAGGCGCAGCGCCCGCCAGAAGCGCCTCTGGTGACGGGCTCCTACTCTCCCCCAGGACGTTTCCCCCAGGATGCCCCGAGGCCCTGGACGGCTCTGGAGAGGAAGGGAGGGAAGGGAAGGAGACGGATGGAATGGGGACGTACCTGCTTTCACTGCACTCCTTCCGCTCCCTCACCCTCAGCCACTTGCGGAGGAGGAAGCGTTTTCGGCGCGGGGACGCGCTGGGTGTGGAGCAGTTGGACCACGGGGTGTCTTCGTCGCTGGAGGGCGTGATCTCGATGGACGGCAGCTGCAGGAACTCTTTGCCGGGGGTCAAGACGCCGGGTAGGTCCCGGGCCAGCCCCGCCTCCAGGCTCTGCTCCTGTACGTTCTTCATGCGGCGCATCTTGAAGCGCCGGCGGCGAAGCGTGGGGGTCGACGAACTGGACCAGACCGGGCTGCCCTCAGCCGCGCCCTGCGGCTCGGGCACCTGCAGGGCGGGCAGCGGCCGGTTCTCCATCATGTTGGCCGCCGGCATGGGGGCCGTCGCCTCTGCGCTCGCCCTGCGCCCTCCGCCAGCGGCCTCGTACGCGTCTCCCGCTGGCTGCTCCCCACCCTCGGCCCGCGGCACACTCCCCTCTCCAGGGGCCGGAGGACCAAGTTCCTTTCCCAGAGCACAGAGAGGAAGGGACGCGAGGAGACGCGGCGTGGCGCGCCGCCTCCCAGAGTCTAACTTTTCGGAGCGCGAGTCCTCCGGGCCGTCAGCCTCCGGCGAGGCCACCCGGGCGGGGCGGGAGCTGCCTGCCAGCCACCCGGTCGCCCTCCTGGGGCTCCCCTCGCGTGCCCGCTTGTTTTTCTTCCGCTGCGCTCCCTCGCTTGCTGCGTCTTTGCCTTAGCGGAACTCGGCAGCCCGGGGCCCCAGGGGGCGGTGCAGCAAACTCTCAGCGGTTTGCGTTCAGCAGACCAGGTTGGGGAGCCGGCTTGGCGCTGCAGGGAGGTAGAGAGCAGGAGGAAGAGGCAGTGGTAGGAGGGAAAGGGGGAGAGAGAGAGAGGAAGCGAGACACTGGATAAAAACAAAAAAGGAGGAGGAGGAGCGGGGGGGGGGGGCGGGGTGGGGGGGACTATCCTGAATGGACTAGCACTGGCAGCGACCGCTAGTGTAACTGTACACGGATTCCCCAGGGGAGGGACTCTACCTCCAAGTAAAGGCTGCTCCAATCAGCCTGGTGAAATAGGATCACAAACCAAACTTTCTCAGGGCAATGATTGGCCCGGCAGCTCCCATTAGTCAAATTCGGCTATTTCCTTGGGGGTGGGGGGTGCAGAGAAAGGGGAATCAATGAATTCAGTCCTCACTCTCTCAGGCCACCCATGACACAGGGTTGAAGGAAAATGAGGAGACTTTTCAACTAGCTCTTGTCTCCTAAGAAAGGCACTTTGAATTATTTGGGGGTGTGGGTAGTGGCACTGCAGGCCGGAGTATAGTCAGAGGAGGAAAGCAAGGTTGCTGGAGGCTGCTTCCAAAATGACAAGCTGAGAAGAGAGGACAGTTCTCCCGTGGCGGCGTGAGCTGAGGACACCAGACATGACACACCAAGGAAAGACAGACAATAGGGTCTGAGAGACAAAGGACACAGGACCAGTAAGGACAATGGGGGCTGAACCCTGTACATGAGCCAGCTGCCAGTACTATAGCTGCATCCTGAGCAAAGAATGAAATGAGGAGTGGGTGAGCACCCGCAAAGCAATGCCTCCAACAGAGCCCCAGGGAGTTGAGTGTACTCCCCCCCTTACATTCCTGAGGGCTGATTCAGTTCTGCTCCAGTCTGCCGTGGACTGGGTCACAGAGTCCAGTATGTCCCCATGTCATGGAACCTAGGAAGTCTGGGTCAGTCCTGGTAGCATCCCAAGATGTGCTGAACCACACTCATTCTCTAGACCCAGGCCCTAAGAGATCATCAACCCTAGAACTGATCTGTCCTATTTAGGTGCTCTCTGTGAGCACTGAGTCTAACCCAGCCCAGCTCCTAGAGCAAGGCTGTAGCACTCATTCTCCTCCTTCATCCCTAGCCCAATGCATTTGTCTCTTGGGTCAGTAACTGTTTTGTTTTGTTTTGTTTTTAAGAAACAAAGTCTCACTCTGTTGCCCAGGCTGGAGTGCCGTAGTGCAGTCATGGCTCACTGCAACCTTGAATTTCTGGGCTCAAGCTGTCCTCCCACCTGAGCCTCCTAAGCAGCTGGGAGTACAGGTGCACACCACCACACCCAGCTAAGTTTCATTTATTTTTGTAGATATGAGGTCTTGCTATTTGCACAGGCTGGTCTCAAACTCCTGGCCTCAAATGATCTGCCCGCCTTGGCCTCCCAAAGTGCTAAGATTACAGGCATGAGCCACCATACCCAGCCTGGTCAATAACTTTCAAAGAGATCATGAGAAGCACCCAAGAATATACCATGAAGTCCACAATCTGATCCACCCCTCTTTTCTGCCACTCTCAGAGCCCAGTTTCCATCTGGGAGCCAATGCCCAGCTTCCGTGCCAGGACAAAGGTCACATTTCACAAGTATCCTAAAGCTGAGGAAAATTCACACCCCTAAAGACCACAAGAATTCACTGCAAGTAAATACATCCCTGCAGTTCAGCAAGACATCAAGGGCTGACAGCTGGCTATGGGTCTACCAAGCTCTGCAATGACACTTGTCAAGTATGGAAAAGCTCAAGGCATGCTGACATTACACAACCTTTGAGAGGCTGGGAAACTGAGGGAAATATGTCTTCCTCAGGGAGAGAGATGGTGCGGCTGAAAAGCCAAGGCCAGGCCCACCCATAAATGACTCCCTGGAATGTCGGCCCCGTTTCTGAAATCCAGCCACTGGCCCTCTCAGGAGTGATTTGGTATCACTCTATTTTAACTCCCGGACATAGCACAGAAAGCAGAAACCCCTTCCCATCAGGTGTCAGGCCTGGCAAGGAGCAGGTCATCTCTTCCGGCTCCAGGGATGCTGAGGAGGCTGCGCTGTAATTCCAAACTTCAGGATCCAGAGCTAAGCCAAGTTCCACAGAGTTCGTTCACTCCCTTGTACTTCCTCCAAGGACGAGTGTTTTGCAGGGGATCTGATAACTTCCCAGTTCAAGGAACCTGCGTATTGGGTGGGCTCTTGACATAGAAGATGAGGGTCTCAGGAGCTTATGGGAAGAAAGCAAGCCAGGACACTACCATTCGCTTCGAGGCCAAAAAAACAAAAGGATGGTGCACAAGACAGGGGCAAGAAGATTCTATGGGCAACTTGGGAAGAGGGAGAAACAACAAGGGGGGAAGCTTTAAGTTTGTTCTGGGCACTCTGAATTTAAGTGTATACCTCTTACAAGGAAGAAAAGCCACCAGCTCTCTCTTCCCACACACTTCAGCCACTTTTCCCACCCACAGTAGATTCTGAACCTGAAATCCTATGAGATTTAATTTAAGTCTTGGGCACAGCAGTGGCTAAGAGTGATCATTTACATTTCACCTGGCCTGAGAGAAAACCTCCAAACAGGAATCTAAAATGTCTTGCTTGGGAAGCAGATACACAGAACTCTTAGCCTGAACACTGTCCTTACTCACTTGCACCTGCAGTCCCTTCCTTTTTTCAAGCCATAACCTTTTTGACCATTAAAACCCTGTTCAAAACACGTCCCCCAGCCCTTTCCAGCTGTTTCTCTTGCCCATGGCTCTGGCAAGTAAGATAATAAATGAGGCACTGCTTTGAAATATGAAATGCCCTGCAGCTGTGAGCCATCATTACCATTAAGACTATAAGCTCCTTGAGGAAAGAATCAAGTTTCTCCTTCCTTTAATTCTCTCCGGTATCCTGTGCTTTTTATGTGTTTGGTGACCTCTACACTTTTGGAAAGAGCTTTCATACACCACACTGTGTCTTCCCAGCGGCCTTTACAATTGATGAAAGTGGGACAGAGAGATTCAGTAGTTTATCCAAGGTCACAGATAAATGACGATGGCTAATCAATGACAACGCCAGAACTGGAACTCACGCCTTCTGAAGCCAGTTTAGAGGCCTCCAAAAGTGTAGAGAAACAATTTCTCAAAGTAGCTGATGCCAACGTCAGAACCAAAGAGTTTCCATGCCCTGCATCAGAATCTCAGCGATTGCATTTGCTCCCCAAGTCTCCCCACTCCCATATTTCTTCTCTGCAATATTTGGCTCTCAGCAACCCCACAGTTCTCTGTGAAACTGGCCTCACCTTTGCCCCCATTCCCCGCTTCCCCAGACAGGTGGTAGCCAGAACAACCCAGCCTCCCCTCTCCCACCTGCAACCAGGCCTCTGACTTTAAATGAAAGGAGGTCATATTACCAAGCAACTGTTGTTTATTCTCAGCTGCAAAGGCTCGCTTTGCCTACAGATACAAGACACCCAACACCTGTCTATTACTTCTGGAGACTCATAAACTATTATTATTATTCAATTTCCAGGAGAAAACTTAAGTGAAACATAGTAGCTTCCAGGCTAGATTTCTCCTGGGTACACATCCAAGTAAATGTGAACTGGAAGGCGCAGGCACCCCGGACACATTATTGCACCTGCTCCAGGATGCCAAGGCAAGGAACTCCCATGGACACGGGAACGTCTCCCTACAACACTGTTGTTGCAAGAAAGACAGTCCCTACTCTCAATGCTGGGACACAGAGTCTCTCCCTGACACAACATTCAGAATGGCCAATCCCAACGGTTGGCCCATTACAAGGGAAAGAAGCAGGCAGTAGGCATAGAAGAAGTGGAATTTGCAGCTGGCAGAAAACCTGGAAATACGGACAGAAATGTGGACGATGCTGAGAGCAATGTTAACTGTCTTCAAACACACAACGAAGGATGGCCAGATTTCACTCTGCAACTCTCATTTTGCTGCTGAGCAAGAGGAAATGCATTTCTGTAGAGTGCAGCATGGGGGATTTGGGATAGATGATAAACATTTACCGAGGGTAAGGCTGTTTAAGGACTGGCATGAATGACTAAGGCTGGGTAGAGAATGGCCTTCTCTGTAGATCTTTTAAAGGTAACTGGAGCCTAGTTAGAGGCGGTGGCAGGAAAGAGATGATCTCTTAAAGGCCCAGCCCACCCTACTACTGTGGGTCTCTAAGACCCAGATGGTTGCTTTTTAAAGTAGAAGCAATTCGCTTACACCTAAAACAAAGTCTGTTTGAGCTGACCTGTTACTGGCTCAATGGCATTTTGATCATCGGATGCTAAACCCTCCCTGAGACCTACAAACAGCTTTAATATCTTGCACTGACGAACTAGAAATACAGGGATCAATTACCAGGATGGTACTGAAGCAGGGAAGTGAGGGCTCGGGGAGGAAGACAGGAGAAAGAATTGGAGGGAATAACTTAAACTCTTCCCCGTGGTATCTCCTTCTGTTTCTTTCACGAGTCCTCCCTTCATTTCCCCAGGGAGGGGCTCGCTACTTTAAGAAGGGTCAGGGGACGCTGCACTGAATTGGTGTAGTTAGAGAAGGAGTGTGGAGGAGGAGGCTGATGCTGGTTAAATACAACCTAAATCAAACCACAGTTGACCAACCACCACATCCAGCTTCTCCTTCCAAGGAAAAAGGGAGAAAATGCTTCAGGACTTGGATGGAGACTCAGTTTTGGAGAACAGAGCCCTGGGCAGTGCTCTCAACCTTGGGGAGTGCACAGGATCAGCTGTTTGCTTCCAACAGCCTTCACAGGGGCCAGGGTGAGCAATGACGTCACCTCGGGAGAAGGACTATCACCAGATAAGCCTCATTGGTGTAATTGCTCATCAAAAGGCTTCGGCGTCAAAGAAGAATGTTTTGCACAACATTTGGCTGCCCTTGTACTTGACACCAAGAATACCAAGGCACAGAAGGACATTATCTCTTGTCCTCTAAATCTTGCAAGAACTTATGTGCAAACCAGGGCTGAAAAAGACTCTCTGAGGTTGCCCCATCTGTCCTTGGCTGCCCATCCCAA